CTTTTTGAATTGTTATGTGCTTAGCAATAAACTAAACATGAAATATTTTATTGACAGAACCAAAGTGACATTTTTTTTGTAGGAAATTGATTCATGTAGTGTCTTGCACTTATTAAAAATAAATAATTTCTGACATTTGAGTTTTAATTGTCAGTCTATTCTTAGCAACAGGAACAGAATAAGGCTCACATAATTTTTTTAAAAAATGCTTGCTACAACTCATTAGTTACCTGTGAGAATAGACTGAGACTCAAAGAATAGACTTTAAAATAATTCTGTTAGTTTATCACTGAATAGCGTAGCACCATAATACATTAAAGATCTTCTGTTATTGTATTAACTGTCCAGAGCGCTCAGGTCTTCTGGTTCTGGTCTGTTCTGCATCCCCAGAACCTGAACAGAACATGGTGCTTCTATGCACCACAAATCTGGAAATATCCAGAAAATTGCAAAACAGTTGAAACAATGAGTTCCTTTAAATAAAGGCTAACAATCCACCTGTTTATATTTGCTTTTCATTAGTAGTTAGTGCAACATTGACACATTGGTGTGTATTGATTTGATGGTGGCTTTTGACAACATGCAATGTTTATTGCTTGTTTCTAGTTGGTGATTGCTTTTATTATGTAAAACACCCTGAACTGCCTTGTTGCTGAAATGTGCCATTCCTATAAACTTGACTTGACTTTGATGGTCAGTCAAATTTGTGCAATGGGCACATAAATTCAAAACAAATGCCCCCAGGCTGGACTTTGGACAATCCTGTTCTACCCCATTCAGTTGAAGTACTGGTTAAATTTTTGTTGTCCTGCTGGAAGGAGGACCTCTATCTCAGTTAAAAATCGTGTGCAGCCTCTTAGCTTCTCTGTCTCTGCTAAAGAACAGCAAGATTCTGCCACAAGCATGTTTCACTGTAGAATTTGTGCGCTCAAAGCTTTTTTATCCCAATGTTTTTTATCTTGCCACTCTTGCATAAAAGCCAGATTTGTGTAAAACACAACAAATAATTATTTTTATTCTACTTGCCCAGCCTGTCAATGTAAGTGGACAGCCATGTTCCAAAATGGCACATTTGCGGATGTGCCATTTTGGTTAAGGGATTGAAAAGTACTCTGTACTTGTAATATTGTTAAATAATACAACCTCATCATACACCGGTCTTTGCAGAAAAACGTAATCTTCTTTGGGCGGGAGACACTGCATTTCATTTAGTGGTGCCAGAATGAAGAGGGTTGAATACAAATGCACACCAAACTGTTTGGATTTTTATAAGTAAAAAAAATATTACGTCATTGGATTTGTTTGTAGTATAGGAGAGTAACATAACTGATTAATCACATGGTGATTAAATATTATTAATATCTTATTTTTGTTATTTCCTTAATTGGGAGTTTAGGTGCTGATTAGCGCCCTCTAGGGGTTTTAATCTCTGCTGAGTCGTTTCCAGCTTGCAGCGTCACGGGTGCGACGTCCCACTTCAATTATTGTGTATGATTTGTATGCGGACATCCTCCCTTAATATAAAGACGAGGACTTTTTGTTTCTCTCTGAAGAGAATCACAGGCGAAACAGAACAAATGTCTGAACTGCTGATGTATTTTTTTGTGTGATTTGTAAAAAATCTAAATCTAAAAAAAACATTGATATCTTAAAATGCATTTTGGAATTGTTTTGTTTTTTTTTTTTTTTTTTTTTTTTTTTTACAGTTCGAGATCCTGAAATATGATTTATTTATTTTATTTACTGCTTTTTTAAAATTTAATTTGATGGTAGAACAAGCGGGTAAATTATTTAAGAAAATAATTGAAAATATATTTCTTTCCCTCCTTTTCTTTCTTTTTTTTGTTTTTTATTCTTTTTTTTTTTTTTTTTTTTTTTTTGCCGTAATTGGTTTTGTGATTCGAATCGATCAGCAACGAGAATAAATTTTACCCAACATACATGTTTAGTGAGGTAATACCGTCACATGTATAAATGTAAACCAAACAGAGTGAATGAAATCCGTCAGCAGAAGCAATTTGATGAGACTCTTCATCAGCAGCACCATCTTGACTGTCTGCGGAAGAACAGAGAAACAGAAGTCCTTTCCCTTTCCCATGTGGATCGGATAAATATAGGTCCTGAAAGCCCTCTCACACACGCTCTCTCTCACACACACTCGCCATTTGCTGTTTGTGTAGAAGCGATTAGCCAGACACAACTGCGAAACTGTTACCTTTATGGTGGCCAAGCCGCAGAATATTCTGTAAGATGATCCGGCTGTGATATGATGGGAGATGAAAATGTGTCTAAACTGTGACCTCAGGCCGGGATCATTGACTGGAAAAGTGGAAAACTCTTTAGTTCCACATAATTATGTGCTATAAATTTATATCCAAAACATATTCTAAACTTTAAAAAGCTTTATTTATTTTTTCGAGTTTAAAAAAAAAAATTATATTGATTTACGGTTGAAACTTCACACCAAAATGATTTAAACAGGTTAATCCTCTTCTACAACACATCTGATTTATGTATGAATGCAATTTTTATTATTGGGGTTTTGCAAAAATTAATTGATAATATATGAAAACAAATAGCTGAACAATTTGGAACTGATAAGATTAATAAAAAGGGGTCTCTTGTTATTGCTATTCCGTTTTTTTATTAGCTGGTAAATTATAAATTATGTAAATTCATTGTATTAGGTATTTTTTTAGCTAGGCCTATTTATTAGTTATTTTTTTAATTAAACCAATACGGATGTTTACTCTCGTCTTAAACACGTCAGATTATTTTAAACGTTTTTAAAAAAATGAAAATAGTTTTAACTTTTTCATAAATTTATTTACAAATAATTTCATCTTACAACACCAGATAACTACATAGAATTACATATATTTGATTTTTTTTATTATTATTAATAATATTATTATAAACAGTCTTTTTGCACTTGATCGTGTCTTGTATGAAATGTGTCAAGTCGGGCCTCCAATAGAAAAAAAGAAAAATCAAAAATAATTATCACAGATCTCAAACAGAAACAAAGGACAGATAAAAGTCAGACGGGTAAAATTATTCTCCCTTTTTTTTTTTTTTTTTACAAATATTTACAAATGTTACCTGTACAGAAATACTATCCTTTTCTCGTCATTTTTTTTTTCATTTCTCTTGTATTTCAAGAGTCTTTTAATGGCTTTACAGTCCAGTGCTGCCTATTGATTTGTACTCTCCACGCCTCCCAGTGATAAAGTCTCTATATAAAAATAAAATGTTTTTTTTTCTTGCTGTTCAGTCACTGTGAGGGCCATTTGGAGACCGCTGCCGCCGTCGCTGAAGGTAAAACGTGTCCAGAAATAATATTTGAAGGGACGCTGAGGATGGGAGCGATCGCGGCAGAGGTCCGGGTCAGAGACAGGGACTGCGCGCTCAGCAGGGCCGACTGAACGGTGACCGGTGGCCGGAGGAAAGCCTGGGCTGCGCCCGGCGTCACGGACGACGAGCTGGACACCCCGATGATGTTCTCTATGCTGAAGGACGGCCTGTTCGACGGCTCGGATTTGATCATTGACGCCGTGCTCAGGCTGTTGAGCTGCAGCTGGAGGCTCGGGCTCAGCTGAGAGTTGAACGCTTTTCTGTTGAGCTCCGCCGAGGGCAGCAGGGGGACTCCCGGCGGGAGCATGGGCCCCACAGGTGGGATGTACGGGTACTGCAAAGCCGCCGGGTGGGAATACGCAGCCGGGTGGATGCCGTAGTGCCTCCCGTAGGGGCCTCCGAGGCTGTACGCCCCGAAACTCTGCATCATGAGTGCGGTCTGATCCCTGAGCACGTCCGGCTGAACTCTCTTGAACCTTTTCCTCCGCCTGAGGAAACTGCCGTTGTCGAACATGTCCTCTGAAGCCGGGTCCAGGGTCCAGTAGTTGCCCTTTCCGGGGTTGCCGGGCTCCCGGGGGATTTTCACGAAGCAGTCGTTCAGAGACAAGTTGTGGCGGATGGAGTTCTGCCACGCCGGGAACTTCTCCCGGTAGTACGGGAAGCGGTTGCTGATGAACTCGCAGATCCCGCTGAGGGTGAGCTTCTTCTGCGGGCTCTGGAGGATCGCCATGGTGATGAGGGCGATGTAGGAGTAAGGTGGTTTCACCAAGCTGCTCTTGGGCTTCTGGATCGCTCCTCCCGTCGCTGCGCTCTGGTCGTGACCCTCTCCTTTCCCTGCGCCCGGCTCTCCTTCCCCGGAGCTCTCGCAGCATGGGCTCCCTCCTCCGGACCTCATCTCCTCCTTCTCCACCTCGATCTCGTCCTCCAAGTCATCGTCGGCCGGCTCTCCTCGAAAGCCGTGCAGGATGCTGCCTCCCCCCGGGCTGTCGCAGTCGCTGTCCACCCTCTCCATGCCCTCATCGTCTCCTTCTCCCACCACGTCGATATCCACGTCCTCGGCTGTGAGCACAGTTTGGCCGGACATGTCGCTGGCTCGATCGCTGCCTCCAGAGAGGGTCATCTCACGGCTTACTCACACTTTAGTGTAAGAAAAATAGGAGAAGAAGAAACTCACAGGAGTGGAAACAGCTGTGCAGCGGCCAGTGCGCGCACACCGGGGGTCTGCTGGACAAAAATCGGAGGTCTCCAACGATCTGAAGGTGTGCAGAAAAACTTCAAACTTCAAGAAATATTCCCCACGCTGGAAGTTAGCGGGGCCTGCAGTGCGGTGCGTTTAGCCCTAGAAGTTGTTTGGAGAGAAAGCGCAACTTTTTTTCCTTTTTTTTTTTTTTTTTTTTTTGCGTTTTGCGTTCAGGCGTCTCTCCTGAGCGGCTGCGTGCGTCCTAAACCAGCGATATTTGGCGAGCTGAGTCGAACTGACACATTCTGCTTTTGGAAAAAAGGCCGGAGCTTTTTAACCGGACTGACTGATAGATTACTTTCCCCCCTTGTATAAGATATACTATCAGAGCTGGACACGTGGTTCGGTGACGCCACACCCCCCACCTCTCATCTCTCTGTCGCTTCCAAAGCTTTGCTCTCTCCGCTCTCCGTTAAACCAGGCAAACTGGAATTGTTTCTTGGATTTGTCAACAATGGGACATCAGCAGCGCTGCTTTCCGCTGATTTTCTGTGTTCGTCCGTCATAGACCATTTAACGGTGGCGGAGGGAGGAGGAGGAGGAGCGGGGGGAGAAAATTGGCCTGCGTGATTGAAAGATCTGAAGCGTGGCTGCGCAAAAACAACCTTTAACTTTTGCTAATTCGAACTGTGTTGACAGCTGCAGAGCGGCAACAGCGACAGCTAAGTTAAAGGAATCTGCTTGATTGACTTTTGAGTGTGTTTTACCTTTTAAACTGTGAAATTGTGCATGAGAAGGTTTTTCTTCCCCATCTGTGAATTCTACTGCTTAATCTTTTTCTTGTCTTAGCTGAGATGCACCGCTTTATGTTTGCATTATCATAGATCCCGCTGTGAAACTTCAATGTGTGAACACAAAACATGATTTCCAAGTCTATTTATTCCTGCAGGATTAGTGGGAAGAACGCGAGGAAGCAGCTGCAGCGGAATCGACCATGAATGTTGGGGGAGAGGAACGCATTTCCTTAAGAGTTTGGAAGAGGTGCAAACGACCCCGATCATTGCATGTGTTTGCATTTGAAAAAAGAAATCTAGGAAATGTAGACAGCGGGTGAATGCAAAGGAAGCATTTTTTATTCACAAGCTTGGAGGTGAGCGCTAAAGGCTGAAGGTTGGGCTTGGGAAAAAAAGCGAGATCCTTATGTTTCGGCGCTAATATTGAGAATAATTGACGCAAACTTTGCATGCAGAAGAGAAATGTGTAGAACTAGAAGCGAAACATAGAAAGTTTGCACCGCAGCTTAAGGAATTAAAATTATATTTTTTTATTTAATATATAAAGGAAATTTAAATGCTGAGTTGTTTTTTATGTAGATAAATATTCGTTTTAAGTTTGTTATTCTTACAAAGGATTTGCCTAATGTATTCATTTTATTATTGTTAGAATCATTATTATAATTATTTATTTTAATTAAATTTACTTTTGTTTATAAAGTAATTTGTGTTAATTAATTACTTGCAGAATTCAACTTACAAAAGCAGAAGAAACCTAAGCAAAAATAAATTTTCGTTTTCTTTTAAAAACAGTTTTTTTAATTAATTAATTTTTTTTGGCTGTTGTTTGGTCGACATGTGATCAGCGCTGCGCAGAGGCGCTTCTCCCTGTCGCACCTTTGCTGCTTTCCAGTCCGGGATAAAAGCGAGGATTAATCAGACGCTATCATTAATAACGCGCGTTCGGGTCAAAGGGACGGAAACCCGGCTTCCGATTAGCCTGGCCTCCCGCTTAATCTCGAACTGACCTGTGAAATACGAAGGTCCGTCAATATGGACTACTTAGCAGATGAAACTAGAGTCCGCGTCAACTTTCATCCTCCTCATCCGTGGCGCGCACGTGTGTGTGAGAGAGAGAGTGTGTGTGTGTTTAGGGAACTGCTCATTGCTGCTTTCCTAAATGAAAAAAAAAGCACCTTGAAGAACTATATTCTTTTTTTTTCTCTTGAAATGCTTAAAACAACATATTTGTCTTTTTTATTTGTTGGAAATTAGATTTTTAGCTCTACTTTATGCATTTATATAAGCATAAAGCATCAGTTAGTCATGCTAAAAAGATAGTTTTATAGAAGCAAAACAAGCAGTTCAAATAATCTACTTTTTAAAAAAGTACTATTCATGCGTTTTAATTAAAAAAAAAATAAGTCAGCTGTCTTTCACTGTTTTCTGTATTGTCTTTGAACCTGCAGGTGCAGCTGGCACAGCCAGCCTTAGGCATAAGCAAGCTGCCGTCCTACTCAGGACCACTCCGCAGCAGGGACGTTCCCATGAGCCGCTCGACCTCTCACACAGACGTAGATCTTCAAAATGTGCCTAAATGTTGAAAAATCTGCTAATTTTCAAATTTGCTTTGAGGATTTAAAATAAATTAATACAATTAAAAAATATATATAAAAGACAGATTTGAAGCTAAAATAGATTTAGCTTCAACATTTAAAGAATTATCAGTATTTTTTTTAAATCATGCATTTTACACTTAAATGTAATGTAACTAGTGCAATATATATTTTTGTATTTACAGTTTAGTCAAATTTTATTCAAGTTAATCAATCAACAGAAAGATCCTCCATTCTCCACCCAACTTTAACTTCCCTTTTCCCTCCCTTTTCTCTGCTGTTATCCAATAAACAATGTGAATTGGGGCCCAAAGGCCCAGGGCCATATAAAGTATTGGCTTGGCTCTGTATACGTAGCGCTGATAAAAGCTCACTGCAACAAGCACAGAGTGAGGGGGGCTTTCTAACCCGTCCTTCCTGTGATCTTTTGAAGCCTCGTAAATCCGCTTTTATACCTCCGCAGTTTGTTAATGAAATGTACGTTTTAAGCACACATGCACGGCTTAGCGCGACAAAAACCTTTTAGTATAATAAGCCATCTTGCTCCTGAATGAAACCGTTGGGAGGGACACAGAGGAGACGCAGCAGCAGCTGAGGTGATGAAAACAGCGCAGGAAAAACTGCCACCAAGGTCGCTGGTATAACAAATAATTGTGATCATAATAATGTGTTGCTCCGGTGAACTCTGATGAATAGATTTTTTCCGCTCCCTTCAGGTCACACCCGTGGAGCTGCAGTCAGAGGTCAGGGTCACCTGCGGAAGCTGTTTAGGCTCAGTAAAGGTTAAAAAAAAGGCTCATTCTAAATATATTTTTTGCAAATTTTAGTTTCTTTGGAACTAAATAGGCTACAGGATGTTTTTTTTTAAATCTATTCTGTAGTTGGTCACACAAACACAACATAAAAAAACTTGTTTGCAAAAAACATGTTTGCAATTTTAAATGTTTTTCTACTGAATTCTGTACCTCATCTTTTTTTTTCTTTTTTCTTTTTTTGCAATATGCAAAGTGCAAGGCATTCCTGAACATACTCAGCTCAATTAATTAGGTTAGAGTGCATCTGAGGGCTGCCGCTTTATTACACAGATATGATAAATTAATGCATTGTTGGCGCGTCTGTAATTATGCTAATTATTTTATACCAGCAGCAAAATCTTCACCCTGTCAGATTTAATGACAAGTGAAAATCTCAAGCAGCTGTTGACAAAAAAATGGAAGCGCGATGTAATGGAATTTATTTTTGTCACAAAAATTGAATGTTTCACATCGGACAATGTGTATCTCATCAAAGAGAGGGTAGTTTTATTTCCTCCCCTTTTATCCACTTTTTATTTTGGGGAAATCACAATGTTCAGTTTCTCCCAAAGCGTCCACTCCATCAAGCTGCAAGTTTGTGTCAAACAATATGACGGAGCTCATCTTTAAGCCCTCCTCCTGCTGGATGTGCGGCTCTCACATCAGAGACGCGCAGGGGCCCGACGCTGAGCCACGCGGTGTCTCAAGCGCCTGAATTTCTGTTAGTCGGGAGGCCCCGTTTTATAAAAGATGTTTGTACATCTACAGAAACGCAGCAAATTTGCATTTTCTACATGACGCATCTCATGCGCTCCTCTTGTTTATGGTTTTTGTACCAAGCACTCTCATGGCTTAGCGAATAATTTAGTGGCAACCTTAACAAAAGTCTATACAGATTTTTCTTCAGTTGTCATACTTTTACAATACGTTTCTAGAAAGTGAGCCCGACCATTGTTGTTTTTTATCCTCTTCAATAAATGCAGGCCTTCAATGAGTTAACTTACAATAACAACATAAATCAATAACGCTGCAAAAGTTTCATCTTTGACAATAGACAGCAATAAAACAACAAGCTTTCACAAATTCTGTATAAATTATGTCACGTTTCTCCAATTGCAGTCTTAGTTGAAAAGATGAAATATTGACTTCCGTGCTTTTTCTTCTTAATACATTTTCATGCATTCCTTTGGTTGTCATTTTATCCTATATATTGCTGAAATGCAACACCAATTAATAAAAAAAATGAAGTTATATGTGATTTTTTTTTAATCTGTCAAAAATACAATTGTATAAACTTTGAAAGACTACTCTAGAAGGAAAATAAAATAGGCCTATATATATTTTGGATTTGATTCTCATATAAAATAGTTATATATTTTTACGCCAGACAATACCTATTGTTATTTATTTGTCTGCTTTTTTAGTTTAAAAAAATTCTCTCGCCACCTGTTCATCGTTGGACCACCAGACCAGGACAAATCCTGACACCCCGGCAGCGCGAAGACCACTGGGAGGGGACAGACCTGCATCAAACTTGGAGGATTTTCATCCGCTAATGTCGCTGCTGCTGCTGCTGGGAAAATGACACCTCCAGCTAAATGCAGCGGGGGATTACCATGCCAATGTATACTCGTTAAATACTTACGGTGTCACTCAGTTTGTAGCTCTTTGTCATTCAGAGGGTGGCTGAAAGATACGCATCAGGATGTTGCCTCGTTGCGTGAGCGCACGCATGAGGCAGATCAAGGCGAACAGTTGCGAATTGGTCCCATTTCTGGCCTTTTACGCGCAGTTAAAACACGCGCAGTATGCGGGAAAAGGGGCAAACTCTGACTTAATAACACACCCGAGACTGATCGAACAGTGACATAATTTGCTCATATGGTTTAATTATAAAACAAGAGTAAAATTGTTACATGAAATCATAATAAATGTGTATTTTTGCAACAATTTGTGGAAAGTCGATTCTTCTTCACTGATTCTTGGAGGAAAGTTTATTTTTTTAAACAAAATAAAAATAAATGAAATACCCCAAACAAAAATAATCTACAAGGTTACCGAATGAAAATGTAAAACTTGCAGATATTCATGTTTGCATATGAACCAGGTTAAAAGGGACCTTTCATTCGGCATGACCCTTGAACTCAATATCCTCTGCCTATTGATGCATACATTTATATATAACATCACAGGAAATTACCTTCTGCATTTGCCTGCCCTGTACCCATAATAATGTTCCTCCACCTAATCTGTCAGGTTCCACTCTGAGACACTTTACCTCTTGTCGAACCCAATTATTACAGAAGATGAGGAAGAGGCAAAAGGTTTTGGCTTGGCAGAGAAACATGTTTGGATACAGAGGCTTCTTTATTGGTAATATTATGCTAAAAACAGAAATATTCCAGAAAATATACTTTTCTGACATTACAAATAGTATTTTCATCCAGACTTCATTTTATAATTAAAGCAACATTTTCTACACTATCTCATATTTGCTCTATAAAAGTGTCCTTGTCTATTGTTGCAGTGGGGAAGTGCACATCCTTATCAAAGTCATGGTGCTGTCTCTTGAAATTAGAGACAGCACCTCTAAATTGTCAATTACACAGAGGTTAAGTAGACTGAATAGACTCAATGATTCAAATCAGGTGGTACAATTTATTGCACATCACTCTCTGGTTTCATTTCACAGAACACTGACAATGAAGCACCTTTATTTTACACAATAGGTGAATAAAATTGACACAGGTCCTTTCTACATTGCTCAATTTTTCATGTTACTTATAAATGCTGCATTTTTAATCTTTGAAGTATTTTGTTTAGGCTTATTATGAGCAGTTATTTTTAGATCATGAAATAAATCCAGAACTATTGTACTTGTTTGGCATTGTAACCGTCAAATGGAAATAAATGCATCAGACTTAAATGCAATATGCTTTTAAAAGATGACTGGCATCCCACAATGTCTTTTCATGTTAACTGATCATTCATATATTGATTTGTTTTTGTTTTCTATTTGAATCATGAAGCAATAATACATGTCATATGCACATTATTTTTGCACTATGGAACAACAAGGGTGTACTTTCATTTATTTTTTGTTTGGATCCTCTCTTTAACCCAGATATCTGCACTTATTTATAACTTATCTGCAGGGAAAATATTTATTTGAGGAAATATATGTGTCATCCCCATTTTTAAGAAATCGTTCAGTTGTCCAGGACTGTGGCAGACCAAGATGAAATAATGCGTAATGGTGAAAAGGAAGAAAAAATATACTTGATTTCCAATATATGTATTTATCGACAAATAAGAAGCTGAAGTGTTGTCTGAATTATGTGTCAATATATCTATGCAAGAAATTTTTTTCCAAAATATTTCAAGCTCAGTCACCTTGAATGAACATCAATTTTCAAGCACTGACAGAGCTTCTGAAATAGTTTTGGATCCGAGTTATGAAAATACTTTCAATTAAACCCTTCCATTGCAGCACAGACTTTGGATTGCTGTCTTACTAGAAGATAAATCTTCACTTCAGTCTCAAGCTTTCTCCAGCCTTTAACAGTTTTTTTTTGTTAAATTCACCAACTTAATCAGCTCCATCTATTTTCCTATGAACCAGTTTCCTTGTCTTGTCAAAAACACATAATGTCTTATGTTGGACATGATGTATTCAAGTTAGTGTCTATTCTCCACCTCACATAGTCTTCTGCATGAACACCAAACATTTACTTTGTTACATCCAAACAGTATATCTTCTTTCACATGTTAGGTTAGTAGTTCTAAATACTTTATTATGAGAAAATTAATAAACACAACATAAGGAAATGCATGTTTATTTTCTATATACCTATGATCATTCACTCGACTTGACGTAATTCATTAAAGGCTCATGTACTTATTATTATTATTATTATTATTATCATTATTATTATTATTTGAATTTGAATTTAAATTTACTTCAAAGGTGTGCATACATTTAAGTTGTTAAACCATAGCTACACCTAACATTTCAGTGATTATACATGTGCTTGTTCATTCATGTGATTAGTACTTCGAACAACAAAACTAAGTTAAGTTATATTTAAGATGGCTTTTAACTTAGATCTTTTACTTTACATTGTTTTAACTGCTTATTTAGTTCATATACCCATTTAAATGAAACATATATACATGGCAAAGTTAAGAATGTAAACATGGTTAACACTCAAAAAAAGTTAGTGCCCTGAAACCAGAGCTTGTAGTCCAAAGTCAGCTACACAAGCATCAATATTTTACAATCTCTCAAGAATCCCCATTGCAGATGCAATCAATGCCTCCTATTCATTATCCATGTGTATGTCTTCTAGGTATGGCCTTTGTCGTTAGGCAATAATTCTCCCTTCCACAGTTCCACATCACTCCACTGAGCCATACTTTTACAAATGCCTCAGGGCTATAAATACTAATGAAATCTCTTTGCTTAATTTGATTTTGCTGGTACACTTGCAGTTATGGCTGAACTTTCCCACGAGAGAGGCTGATTGGACACTTTCAAGTCCTTATGGAAGCAGGAAAACATTCCAAAGAGCTGGGGAGATCATTTCCATAATTACCCCGATTGGCAGCCTAATGACCTTCTGTGACAATAAAAAGATCTCTTGTTAATTCCATTTCTGTCGCTGACATTCAAGAGATTCCTATCTTACATGTTTGAGGGTTCACAAGATAACAAGTGTACTTTTTTTTCCCCCCTCACAAGCAAAAGAGCAGCCTCTTTCAGTGTCGCACCCCCCACCCTCATTCCACATCACTACCAACGGCTCTGCTCTTCTCTGAACAGGATCTGCCTGAGTCTGCACAGCTCCTCTACTCTGCTCCAAAGTTGGATAATTTATGGACCAGGGGGAGATTATAAAGATGGATCTGTAAGGCAATCAATTCCCATGTTGCGTTTTTGAATGGTGGGATAGAAATGAAGTGCAGAATAATTAAAAAGATCACAAGTCCCCCCTCGCATGTAATAACGAGCAGGTCCAGAGGCGGTGGGCTCCTCCACGGTGCCAGAGGAAGCTCTTTTGATGTGACTGAGAGGACACCTCAGCTGGTCCGGAGCTGCTGCACAAAGGGATGGTTTCACCCACCACAACACACTGAGGACATATTGCCAGGCATGCAGAGACAGTTTGACCAGGCAGATCACAAGCAGATACTGTTGTCAGAGGAAGCTGAGACACTTTTTTATCTGCTTAGATGTCAGGGTGACTCAGAGCTGGCAGAGATGCAGAGTGTGTGGGGGTCTGTTTGGAATATGTTTCACAGGGCCCACAATGCTCAGAGTGTTGTTGGATGTTTAAAAAAAAAAATCCTCCATCGTCTGTGTATGAATGGGTGTCAAAATGTACCATCAACTCTCTGCATGCACAGCTGTAGGCCACTGTGACCTGATAAATACCTCTGCAGACTCCTTAACATTCTGAATACATTAAACTTGATGTAAAATTTAAAACTATGGAACTGATGTCCCTTTGTCATCCTTATTTTCAATCAGTGGCAAGATTCTGTGGGAATAAGCATGAGACATTTAGACTGTGCAGCACAAGTAGCATTTGCTGCAGAATAGTAAAGAAGATTATTTCTAAGAGGAACCACCAGGACGTTTCTGTACATCATTTCAGGATTAGAACCTATTTAAACTTAATAGGTGACATTGACTCAAATGATAAGATGAGTCACTTTAGTTAATGTCTAACAGGTGAATCAATGGGATCTAGTGATCCCTGCAATTGTGAATTATATTTGTTATTCATCAAACTCAGATCTATTTAAAAATGATTAACACAAACAGGCATTATTAGTGAAAAGATATTACAGCAACTTTCCTGTCTAAGTACAGATTAAGTGGAAGTTTTAGGATATCAGGGAACGTAACATTTAAAGAATTATTTACTTAAAGGGTTAATTGATCTAGTCTAGAGGAAGGAGTTTTTGTTCTGGTTTTGACTCTGGGAACAATTTTTTGAATGTCTTGATGGTTCTTAACTTTGGACAAGGAATCAGCTGGAAACAAAGAGAAATGCCCTGGAAGGATGTTTCTCTGTCTAAACATGCAAAACAGATGGATTCTTGCAGCACTTTATTGAAAATTAGACAAGCACATCATGGTGTATGAAGAAAATAAAATACATTTTACAACTAAATATTTAAAGATTGATCAGGTCTACATTTTGAGATCCTTCTGTTCTAAAGTTTAGTCTGAAATCATCCCAGGAGGAGGTCAAACATCTGAGGAAAGAGATGATAGGGTGAGTTGACTGACCAATCAAAAGGGAACATGGGCTAAACCATGAGGTGGGTCATATTAGGGAAGTGGTAAATTGACATCATGAAAGTTTGTGCAATTAGCGAGTTGTTGAATTTGTCTGTAAGCATTTTCCATTTGGACGAAGTACTGAAATGAAATAAGAGATTTGTTTACTGAAACGTCTCTTTCTATTTGGTTATTGAGTTTCTTTGTTTTGTGATCAAGTATGCTGGCCGCCTCTGTATCAAGAGAAAGACCTTGAAAGGCCTACATGTTCTCCATGCAGTTGACTCCAGATTTGGATCTCAGCTTTTGCAGATGATATAGTGCTGTCATTTAGTGAGAGGAAACCTGAAGAGTTCATTGGAATAGTTTGCATGTGTGAAATCTTCATGATTAAAATGAAAAACTCCAAACTGGAGGGCTTAGTTTGGAAAACGTTGATTAGTAATCTTGTGTTGAAAGTATGGGTTTTGTTTCTGTGGAGATAAAACAAACAAACAAAAAAAACAGTCATATTTTAATTCCTATAATTTGCCAACAGAAGAGATAAAGCACAATGTTATTATATTATTATTATAAACCACATACTATTGAGTTAGAACATTATATTTGCCTCTGTATATTTGTAGAAATGTGCACTTTTAAATGCACT